GTTTTCCCCTCCCTTCACTTCTCCATAAATTTCCCAACCTACCATGGCTACAAGATTCACTCCTCTCCCATCAGCTACAAAAAAAAATAGCAAGCCTCTTCTGGATATCCACTGAACAAGACATAATATGTGAAAATACTAATAGACATAATTACTCATATCAAAGCTAGGCAAGGTAATTAAGCAGGATGAAAACCATGTGGATTATACAAAGTGTGTGTCTCTCTCTCTCTCTCTCTCTCTCTCTCTCTCTCTCTTTCATGCACACAGTGTATCTCTCCAGTATGACTCCTTTCATGCATTACAAGGTGAGGCTGATATGCACAGGTTTAATCAAGTTGAATGCCTTCATAGGGGTTCACTCCAATTTGTGTTTTTAATGCCTTTGAAGAACCCCAAAATGTGCAAAGGATTTACACACATTAGTTATATTCATAGGGTTTTCTCCATGTATGTGATCCTTTATGCCTTTGAAGATGATAGTGGTATGTGAAGTCTTTACAGCACTGGTGAACTTTCTAATGTTTCTCTCCAGTATGTGTTCTTTTATAACTCTGAATATTACTTTTATGTGTAAAGGCTTTACTACACTGGTTATATTCATAGGGCTTCCCTCCAGTATGCATTTTATTATGCCTTTAAAGACTACTGTTGTGGGCAAAGGCTTTACCACAGTGGTTACATTCATTGGGCTTCCCTCCGGTATGTGTTCTTTTATGCCTTTGAAGAGTACTGTGATGGGCAAAGGATTTATCACTCATAGGGTATGTGTTCTTTTATGACTCTGAAGATAACTGCTCCATGCAAAGGCTTTACCACACTGTTTACATTCATAGGGCTTCTCTCCAGTATGTGTTCTTTTATGTCTTTGAAGAGTACTGTCCCACGCAAAGGCTTTACCACATTGTTTACATTTATAGGGCTTCTCTCCAGTATGTGTTCTTTTATGATTCTGAAGATGACTGTTCCGTGCAAAGGCTTTACCACATTGTTTACATTCATAGGGCTTCTCTCCAGTATGTGTTCTTTTATGATTCTGAAGATGACTGTTCCGTGCAAAGGCATTACCACATTGTTTACATTCATAGGGCTTCTCTCCAGTATGTGTTCTTTTATGATTCTGAAGAACACTGTTCAGTGCAAAGGCTTTACCACATTGTTTACATTCATAGGGCTTCTCTATAGTATGTTTTCTTTTATGCCTTTGAAGATGACTGTTCTGTGCAAAGGCTTTACCACACTGTTTACATTCATAGGGCATCTCTCTAGTATGTGTTCTTTTATGTCTTTGAAGATGACTGTTCCATGCAAAGGCTTTACCACACTGTTTACATTCATAGGGATTCTCTCCAGTATGTGTTCTTTTATGAATATGAAGAACACTGTTCTGTGCAAAGGCTTTACCACATTGTTTACATTCATAGGGCTTCTCTCCAGTATGTGTTCTTTTATGATGCTGAAGAACACTGTTCTGTGCAAAGGCTTTACCACATTGTTTACATTCATAGGGCTTCTCTCCAGTATGTGTCCTTTTATGACTCTGAAGATAACTGCTCCATGCAAAGGCTTTACCACACTGTTTACATTCATAGGGCTTCTCTCCAGTATGTGTCCTTTTATGACTCTGAAGATGACTGCTCCATGCAAAGGCTTTACCACATTGTTTACATTCATAGAGATTCTCTCCAGTATGTGTTCTTTTATGAATATAAAGAACACTGTTCTGTGCAAAGGCTTTACCACATTGTTTACATTCATAGGGCTTCTCTCCAGTATGTGTTCTTTTATGATTCTGAAGATTACTGTTCTGTGCAAAGGCTTTACCACATTGTTTACATTCATAGGGCTTCTCTCCAGTATGTGTTCTTTTATGATTCTGAAGATTACTGTTCTTTGTAAAGGCTTTACCACACTGTTTACATTCATAGGGCTTCTCTCCAGTATGTGTTCTTTTATGACTCTGAAGACTACTGTTCTGTGTAAAGGCTTTACCACACTGTTTACATTCATAGGGCTTCTCTCCAGTATGTGTTCTTTTATGACTCTGAAGACTACTGATCCGTGTAAAGGCTTTACCACACTCTTTACATTCATAGGGCTTCTCTCCAGTATGTGTTCTTTTATGATTCTGAAGATTACTGTTCTGTGCAAAGGATTTACCACACTGTTTACATTCATAAGGCTTCTCTCCAGTATGTGTTCTTTTATGACTCTGAAGATGACTGTTCTGTGCAAAGGCTTTACCACACTGTTTACATTCATAGGGCTTCTCTCCAGTATGTGTTCTTTTAGGGCTTTGCAGATGGCTGTGGCATGCAAAGGCTTCACCACGTGTGTTACAATCACAGGGTTTCTCTCCTATGTTTGTTCTCCTATGCATTTCAAGACCACTGTCATATACAAAGGCTCCAGTAAGCGTTCTTTTATGTATCTGAGGATG